ACAATGGTTAATTTCATTCTTATGTCAATATGATATATCCCGATGAGCTTGAAGTAAAAGATACTACAGAGTCTGACACATATTTTTCATACTCGGATATTGTACTAATAAAGACATTAATGGTAATCGAACTACAAAGCTTTTAGTTAAATGTGATGACTTTAACACTTCAATCGTCAATTTCCCTAATTTACCCCGGTATGCAGCAATATATCTTCGTCACCTGTAGATCTATAGTAGACCTATTTTTGTATTCATATGAAACAGAATTTGTTCAAAATCTTTTACGCGAAAAGAAAAGAAACACTTGCTGTGGACTTTAAATTGACATTTAGATACAAGTATATCAAGGACGTATTGTCAATTAACAAATGATAATTTCCATTCTTATGTCGACACAGTATATTACGGTGAGCCTGAAATAAAAGATAAAACAGAGTCTGAAACATCTGTTTCATATTGCGATATTTATATGGAAAAGGACGTTAATGGTAATCTAACAAAAAAGCTTTATGACAAACCTGATGACTTTTCAATCGTTAACTTCCCGTACTTATGCAGTAGTATATCCTGCATACAGGGTTTATATATCTCAGTTGATTTCATACTCAAGAGTATGCTCTACGTATAAACAATTTCTAAAACGAGGTGAGTTATTGACAAACAAGTTGATGAAACAGGAATAACAACATTCTCGTTTATAGTCATTTGTCATAATTTCTTTAGTTCTATGATCTATATGATGACAGTGTGTCAGCAAATGTTCTCTATCATTAAGTCAAATGCTGACTGACTTTTTCATACATATTGTTTGACCATTATTTACACATTGTATTGTCGTCGGATTTTGTTTTCGTTGTTCCCGATCACGACAAGAAGCACACAATGGGTGTGACCGGTCGGCAGGGGATGCTCACTCCTCAGTGGCACCTGATATGATGTTTTTGAGGTTTTTGTTTGCTCTGCTTTAAAGTTTTTATTGTCAAATTGACTCTTTAGCTTGGAGAATGTTCGTTATTCTCATATATTTCTATTTAAAGTTTTTTATACCATTTAAGTTAGTTTAAAATTCAAACGCCTTCGGCTCATGTGAGCTAAAAAAACATAACCCGGTTAGGCAATGAAGAAAGAAATTTATTGCTGAAACTGACAGAAATAAAACCAAAATTACCTTGGATATTGGCATAACCAAGTTGCACCTTTAAATGGGATGTCACATATGGGCGCAATATGTCCTTGCATTAATAATTATCAACAATAACATTTAGGTTTCAAATTAAATTGGATAATATGCATGCAAACATACATAAGTAAATTTTATGTTGATGTAATAGACGAAGAAAACGAAAAGTGATTGATCACAAACAATATGAATTTATAAGACAAGGAGCGCCGGAGTGCCCTTATGTAACGGACATGATACACCGACACCTGTATGATCATTTCAGTGGTGAGTTAAGGTGTCTAGACTGAATAAACATGTCCTGTCGACCAATCACACGATCGGTTAACACTGCATGTGTCTCAGATAGACGGAATTATTCAATGTGTTTGTTTGTTGTTTTAGGTAGTCCGATCCTCAGGTTCTGAATATTAGACATTGATTATTTGAAAATGCTCACAAAGAAGTATCTTTTTTCTCAGAGTAATGTGTATTTACCCATGGTGGTTCTTTAATGTAATTTAAAGCAAACAATCTAACCACTGCACCACGACACCGATAGAAATTATTCTAAGAACAGAACAAGAATAAAAGCAAACGCCTTACAGTTAAGTTTTGTTATAATAATTGATCAACTTTAGGATTTAGTGACAATAATTGACAACTAATTATTTTCATTTCATTTCCTTTGTTGATTCAAGATATCCATTTAAACTCATTATACTGAGAAAAAAAACCTGGAAAGATAACAAACATTCATTGATTAACCTTAAAAAATGAAGAAGAAAAACAAAAATCCCGATAAAAGAATTTACAAAATGCTTGGTTCAGTCAAGAGGTTGTTGGAATCCCTGTAACATTAATTTATCTGTCAGTGGCTTAGATTTGAAAAAAATCTTCTGTATATAAAACATATAAGTATGAATTATTTCTAAAAGAGAGTATTTTAATAACATACAAGTTCCTTTTTGTATTTAAGTTCATCATTTGGATGCACTTTGGTTGATACAATGACCTTGGCAACAAAATTAATGTATCATTAAGTTACATGCTGACTGAGGTTTTTCATACTACAGTGTGTAATTGTCAGAGTCGCCCGCGTGGGGAAGTGGCAAAACGACTGCTCTAATGTTGCGATGTATGAGTGAAAAAGTCTCGAGAGGGACTTTAAATAAAAAACAAATTGTTATACCATTATTTACACACCGAACTGTTGACAGTTCCTGGAAGCGTACGCCTGGTTTGACTAGTCTGCAGGGGATGTTCACTCCTCCATGGCACCTGATCCCACCTCTGATGTTTTGGAGGTACACGTTTGCTCTGCTTCTGATTTGCATTGTTTTATTGAATTTCGAGTTAGAAAACTGTTTGTTACCTCCAAATATTTGACGTAACAGAATCCATTAATGATATCTTGTTTACGTTTTCTCTAGTAAATCTGACATAAACCATAATTTTCACAGTATCGATAGTTTCGGTGTCACTATGCGTTGTGATCAACCAGTTTAAAATTCTTATTTTCCACTGTTAAATTTCTAAATCCACCTGAACACCATACTGAATGAAAAACTAGTCTTTTGACATATCATAGATAGAATGTTCTATCGTTAAAATGATAAATTTCCTACGGACCCGAGACACAGTTAGATTATTCTAACTAGACATATCAGCCATATCTTCAAAGAGAACTTTTTTTGTAATGAAGCAATTCATAAGCTCAATTTTTTTTTTATCTTCTTGACAAAGACAATTCTTCTGAAAGACATGTAAAAGTAAGCGGTTTTCGATGATTAGGACTTCTGTAGTTGAATTCCTTGACTGCATGAAAAAAATAAAATCAGCTTCTTCTATACTTATATTGAGAAACCCTAAGTTGCATGATCACACTACGCTATCTGTTTCTGTTTAGAATTCACTTTTTCTTATAAGGAGTGAATCCACAAGAAAATGTCACTTTATGTATCTAGGTCTCTCTTGTAATGGAGTGTTTTTCGTTGACAGAAAAAAATCTATAAAGTTCTGTAAAATTTAAATGTTTGAGTGTAGCATAAGGATCACAAGAAAACTGTGGGTTTGGTGTTAATTGTATAATTTTTTTTAATGATTTTGAAAAATATCATTTTTGAATTTTTCATATCCAAACAGGATTGGATGGAAATATATATTATCACATCAAATGTCAATACAAGGGTATTGAGTGGCCATGTTAACATCAAATGTCATATTTTAAGGGTATTGGGTGAAAATCATACAATGTTGTGTTCCAAAATATCAATCGAAACATGACATCCGCCTCAGACAATATAAGTTACTTTCGTAAAAGGTTTGCTAAGCCTATTAAAACCTTTTAAATAGATATTTAAAGTACAAGTGTAGACTTAGCTAAAACAAACAGAGGATATCAGCAGCTACTAAGCTAGCAGAAGCTAGCAACCAATAAGAATTAATAATTCAAAAATTGAGATTCACTGTATTGATAAAGTCGAATGATTTCTGACGTTTTCCATACTAATTGTTATACTATTATTTACAAATTAATATTCTACGGATCATTTTTTCTTCCACGATCATTACAAGAAGCACATTACGGTCTACAGGGGGTGCTTTCTTTAAATAGTGTCTTTTTTCCTTGTAACACGGATAACGTAACATATAAATACATGTGTAAGCAATAAAGTATCATATTGGGAGTTTCATTGAGACATGACATGAAGTTAGTACTTGATCAGATCTACTATAACGATTTTCGGACATCAAAGGATTTGATCACCTGAGAGACTTCGTCATATCCCACTGAAACTCTATAATGATATCTTATTTCTTAAATAAACATTAAATGGGAAGTTTCATAATCATTTCTTTGTTTTGAAGGGCTTGAGGTGATGAAAAATCTCAATAGATTTAATTTCACATTGATTGATGAAATGGGGGTGCATGCTCCAGTGCCCTTGCTTTAGAGTTGTGCACTTTCACTTAGTGAAAGGCACTGGTTCCCACAGAAGAGAACCATATTCCGATCTGATATTCGAACCCTTGTTCCTAGGATCACGTAAACAATGGCAGTTGGAAAAAAAAACAGCGACTCCAAAACGAAGGAGACCCACGCTCTAAAACAACCTTGTATCAAGTTGCAATAATAAATTTGTTTATATTTATTAAACAAGCACATTACCTCGCTTTTTTCCAATGAAATACCGGGCATATCTGTAACCGTTATGTTTAAAGTGTTATATATTTTGAATGTGGTTTCAAAATACATTTATTTAATTTGAACTTAATCGCTTCAAATTGTTAAAAAAGGTATAAAATGTACAATAGTCTGCAAATGCATATTAAACTTTGTTGTAGATATTATACAAAGAAATATTGTCTAAGTAAATGTACACTGTACAATGATACAAAAATGTTAAATTGCTACTTTAAACATGGAATCTTTTTTTCTGTGCTTATAAAAAATCACGCTTTAGTGCACTATTTACCTTAAGTGAACGGATTGCCTTTGCTGTAAAAAATGAATAAACAGAATCAAATACTCTTTGTTGTATTTATTATAACTATTTAAAATGTTAAATAAAGAAGAAAAATAAAGACACATCTTGAAATAACGTTACCAACCTGAAGTCATGTACAACGTGAAAATTACAAAGACTAGTTTTTATGACAAAGAGGAGATAATACCCATCTCCATAGCAACAATAGATATATATAAGAGTAATGCTGATGTGCAGTTAATGACAAACCAATACGATCAAAGAAATAGAATGTCAATAAGAAATGGCCAGTTTGGATTGAACGTCAAATCCAGAAATGTGAGAAAGGCACTAGATTCTAGGGCGCAATGACGGACAACAGCAGTGAAGTGGTGGTCTGGGAGAAGTTAAATAACGCTAGTTATGTCTCAATAGGAGTGTATCTTATCACTTTGGGTAAGTTCTTGACCATTCTCTTACTTAACTTGGGGCAGTATGAGTTTCAACGCTGCGTGCATACTAAGTGTATCACTTTTTACTCCTTGTAAAAAAAACTTTTAAATTTCTTACTAAATGTAAAACACGTTTATATTTATTATTAATTTTTTTTTGAAATTATCAAGTAAATTTTTTTCTTAAACCCATCCTTAAAATAACATCTATAAAGTTTATAACACCATTTCATATGTGGAGTCAATTTATAACATATGGAGATAAAAGCTGTATTCAAACCAAAAGTTCATTCAAACAATACAAATCATGAGCAGAGCAAACACAGACCCCCCTCCCCCAAAAAAACATCAGAAGGAGGATTAGGTGTCTTGGAGGAGTGACCATCCAGTACCGACCAGTCAAAGGGGCATGTGCTTCTTATCTTGATCGAGGAAAAATATTTTCAATTTTTTTCAAAATTAGTTTTAATTCAAATTCAATTTGATTTTTTAGGAAAATCAAACGTGTGCAATTAACTAGTAAAATGGCCACGATTAGAACAGAAACTACTGAAACGTTTCTGGCTTTGATACGGTAAATCAATGAAAAGAGAGAATCTAATATTAAACTCACAGGGTGTCACAAATAAAATTGAAACCGTGGAAACTTTAACAAAATCCAAAGAAGCTAGTTCTGTAATTATGATCCAAATCGTTCATTGACATTCTTTATAAGATATTTTTCAATCTAAATTTAGAAAAAAGACATAGACTTAGCAAGGGAAACTTGTTGTGGATGGGTCGAAGCCTCTCAAAGCTAGTGAATTTGCTCTATTTCTTGACAGTTGAATCGGCGTGTCCAAAAATAAATGAGATTAAGGTCAACTAGGCTAAACTTTTGAAAATGTTAATTAGGAACAGATTATAAATGTTGCATACATATGTAAGGGTGATCGCAGAAAGAAAAAAAGTAAAAAAAAATCATGAAACTATACAGTAAGTAATATTTTAAAAGCTTGATTACATGCATCATTAAGGACCAAAATAAATAAGGTTTAAATGCATCCAACTTATTATTTATAACCTTTACTTAAGTGCAAAAGCAAAACCCCTAGGGTTTATGTATTTTTGTATTTATTGACATAACTCTATATTGTTAGAAAACGTCTTTTCCTATTAATTTGTATTAATACAATTTCACACAGCTTACTTCTCTTAGTACTTTTAAAGAGCAATGCATACCCACAAAGTAGTTGAAAAAAAACTTGGAATTCCGTACATATATCGTGATAACACTCAATCTATATATACTAGTACACCCAGTAATAATTTTCAAGCTAAAGGTATCGAGTATTGCAAATTGATGTAAAAAGTAAAGACAAGACGTAAACGTAGTTATTTATCACAACTGAACAACTGAACATGATAAATGCATAAAAAGAAATACTCATAGAGGTTGTTTTTGTTGATATCGGTTTCGTAATTTCATATGGTTAAAGTGAATTTTTCCTCTATGTCAGAGACAACGATCAGAACGGTCATTCTAAGCATGAATCCTCCTCATTTTATTTAAGGAATGAAGCTTCTTTCATCTTATGTTATATGTTATATCATAACTTGGGGCAGTTTACGCTTTATAAACCGTGAAGGGTTTATAAAAAGCGTAAACTGCCCCCAAGTTATGTTATATCCTATAACATAAGTTGAAATAAGCTTCATTCCTTATAATCTACCGGTAATTTCAGTGGAGACAATAGACAATTTTTCCTACAGAAAAAGACTTCAACTTGAGCATATTTTAAAAGTAACGTCAAGCGTTTTTAAAGTAATTCATTTTGACGTATACAATGTAGGTAACTTTTTTTATTCGAAATGGATTAAATCTTTTACCCAATCAAATGATGTGTGTCAACTAAAATTAAATTATTTATGTATAAATGTCACATAGAATCTGAGATTACATGAGCATTGCCTTCAATAACAAGGTCTGAACAAAATATTAACTACAGACAGAAAGGTTACTGACATGTCTGTCCTTCTCCTACATATTTTCACATCTTTTGTAGTGATAATATGATGGAATTTAAAATGATAAAACATGAAAAAAACATTAGTACCCAAGGTCAACAACAAAGACAATACAAACTTTTTGTAGAGCAAACTCGCACCCTATATAACATTAGATGTGAGATAGATACCCTCGAGGAGAACGCACCTCCCATCAAGCTGTCACATCCCCCGTATGCTCCTTGTCATGATAGAGAAACTAAAAAAATCCTCAAACAATTCAATGTGGAAAAAGGCCTAACACTTTAATGAAGATGTCTGTCAGTTTCGACTTGACAATATAATTAATATACGTACTAAAATGGTAATGGTGTCAGACAGAATTTGGTGGAAAATGTTGAATTTAAACCAGGCTGTTGATCTTTGTTACATCAACTTTGATGTCAATAGCCTGTCTTGCTTTAGAAAGTATTTACATAGACCACGTTCTTATATTTCAAATCAAATTAGAAACAATAAACTTTATCGCAGGCGATAAATAAGTGAAGTTGACAATAAAGTTGAAGCCATCAGGTCATTTTCTAAGTTTTGTTGCTAGAAACCAAATAATGCACTTTTATTTCAATATAAAACATATGAGTCAGATTCCATTTAGATGTATTTTATATCGAGTTCAAAAAGATATATTTTATCAAAGCAGAGATGAAAATAAAATAAATACGGTTTTGCACATTTCTTTCTGTGTAACAATTAAAGAGACACCGTGACGCACAAAGGGGGAAATTAACAAATGTAGAATTTTTGCATGACCCGTGTAAATTTTGTTTAATTCATAAAAGTATTAGGTTTCAGAAAATTACAGGTTTTAGAACTTAAAAATTATATCTTATGGAGAAAAATAAAAGTAAAAATAATTTCAGTATGCACCATAACGAAAATATTGCAGAATACCCTGGTACTTCTTCCTCCCTATTGTACGCGTGCGCAGAAAAGTTGAATAAGTTTCCACAGTTACCCTTGTCTCAAGTATCCACGAATGAATGATTTTAATCTTTTTAAAAAATTATAAGAACATATTTCTCACCTTTGTATGCTCCAGTTGAATGTTGTTTACTAGTTTGAGCTAAAAATAAAAGTGGTGTGACCTTGACATACACGAAACAAGGAAACGGTAGTTACAACCTTTGTTTTTCCGGCACTTATAATTGTGCGCAGTCTTTACTTGCAGTTTAATTGTCATATCTTATCTATATACTCATAAGTCTTTCTCTGTATGCTACAGATATCTTAAAATAAAGACATGGTTTTGACTCATTGGGTCCTTTTAAATATATATGCAAATAAAATAATAGCCATCTGGCAGAGGGAAAATTCGACCCACAAATCTAATAATCCTATTACAAAGAAGGATGTAATTTATACACCATATATTAACTCAATCAATGGAACAAACGCACCTTTCAAGTGATCAAATATGGAATTTGACTACGGATTATTCAGTCTTACTGATCAATAAATGGGGTTTACGGCTGGTGTGACCAAACGACAGTGGCGGGATGTTAACTACTCATAGGCACCTGATCTCAGATTGACGCCCTATTCACATATTTATATAGTTTGTAGGTTTCCTAAAATTAATCACTGTTCGTTATCTTCAACTATTTCATTGACTGAAGCACACTTGAATAGATTTTTTCAACCCGCGACGCACGTTGAAATTATTGGGGGATCAGTCATTAAGCTCCTTTACACGTCTTACATCAAAGACAAAGCTATAATCACATTTTATTCTTAATAATGGACAAAACCTTGTCCAAAGTTTCGGGAATATCTTACAGTCTTTTTGTGAATTTCAATGGGGAGCACGTTTTTGCTTGGTCATTATTCTTGTTAAAACTTTACTTTTTTTAGCCAAATCCTTTCGCTTTGTTTTACTCTTGCATTCATATCTCACTGAACTGTAATCACATCGTATCAGCGCTGATTTATGTTGAAGGTACACGTCTTCCATTGTGAAATCCTATAAGGTACCTTCATATTATTAGGTGTTCCGGTAAGTCTCTTGTCACTTTAATTACCAACTTAATTCACAATACCTGCGTTTATTATCTGTAAAATAAGCGGCTTACTGTAAGAGATGATTTGAGATAAGCCTCACATTATACGGTCATCACGAAATAAACATTGTCGCCATTTACATTTATAAGATACAGACCCTATAATGTCTGCAGTAAAATATAAGTAATCAGCTTTCGGTATAAAAGTTAGGCTTTTGTAAAAGACCAAGTGTCTTTTGAGTGCCAGGGTTCCAGAGTTTGGTTTTCAACGGTCTGATATTATGCCCTCAAAGTTTACAATTAACTCAGTGTTTACTACTTATAAAGATTTAATGGAATGAATTCGATGTTTAATTAAAAACGAAAGACTTTCCTTAGCTTTATACTCCATTCTTTAAGATAAATAAAAAAAACATGCTTTTTGATATCATAAAATTCTGCTATTTCCTGCAGATTCTGCTTACATAACGAAAATTCGACGATACTCAAAAATATGCTCTGAGTACGAACAATCATTCGACCTAGTAAGGCTACAGATAGATAGGTTAATGTTTAAGGGATTTCAACAATCCTCATTAAAGTCTGCATTTCGTAAATTCTATGGTCATTATAGTGATGTTAATAACAAATATGACCTATCATTGGATGTACTATAATACTTAGTTTTTTGATGTTAATTTAGACCACAGAATTAATAAAAAACTGACTCACGGTACGTGTGATCGGACAAATGGGTCTTACTCCTCTTTAGCACCTTTTCCAACTAATTCCAGAAGATCCGTGTTGCATGTCCTGTTTATAAATTTGTACTGTTTGTTTATTTTTGTGAGACCAATCTTTGTCCATTACCTTCACGTTTTCTCCCCAGTGAATAGTTGCTAAGTAGTAGATATTCTCTGTTATTATATCAATATCCGGATTTATTTTTATGAAAACATGTTTTGGTTCATCAATTGAAATAAGCTAAAGTTTCTAGCTAAATTACAATGTAGACATCTTTTTAATATCCTTAATATCCTGAACTGAAACTATTCTTTATGCATCTTATAAGGTTTTTATTAAATAAAATTAAGACATGCATTATCCCTTTTTCTCGAGGGAGAGTTAAAGAAATATGGATATATCTTTCTCAGCTGATCTTCCAAGTTGGTTAACTAATGAAAACACACAATGCATTATAAAAATGGAAAAAAAATGTTTTGTCCATTTACATGCAACGCACATACATGAAAAAATAAAACCGATAATGTAGGACAGTCTTCGCAGAATCTTTGGTATATATAACATAACCTCCGTTATTTAAACACTGAATTGACGACTGATTTTCCCGTAATATCCCGATCATGACAAGGAGCACACGGCGGGTATGACCGGTCGGCAGGGGATGCTCAATCCTCCATGGCACTTGATCTTACCTCTAATGTTGTGGAGGTCAGTGTTTGCTCTGCTCCTATTTTGCATTGTTTTATGGACTTTTGATCTGGAATACTGTTCGTTATCTCCATATGTTTCACTTCATTTATCGGCATCATTCCCATAAAGTTATGTGTATATGTTTATCAATGCATTTAATTATTTTTATAAGCTGTAGATAGCAAATTATACAGAAGTAGTTTTAATTGTTTATTAACTTTTTTCAATGAAAATGAAAGATCTCATTTTTTTTTCTGGTTAATGATGATTTGACATATCATTATGTTTCAATAAATGGTAATTTTTTTTATATCTTTTGTATAATGTATTGTATTCAAACATTGAAACCTTATCGGGTATTGTTTATCGTTGCGGTATCAACAATTGATAAAAGAAGCGGTTTTGTATAGTAAAACTTCCACCAGAGCAATTATCAAATAATGGACTAACAATTCGTGTGAAAAACGTCAGCCAGCATTTGACTCAATGATAAATTGTATTTGCTGACAAGGTCATTGTATCGACCATAGAACTTACAAAATGATGACTTTCAACGAGACTGCTGATATCCTTGTTTCATTAACTTGTTTGTCAATCATTTACCTCGTTTTAGAACTTGTTCATACGTAGAGCATGCTCTTGCGTATCGAATCAACTGAGATATATAAACTCCCGTATGCAGATGATGAAGGTATATTGCTGCATAAGTTAGGGAAGTTATCGATAGTTAATTTAAAGACGCCTTGTTTGATGTCGTTGAGCTTGGTTGTTAGATTACCATTAACGTCTCTTTTTGAAGTAAAATATCCAAAATAATAAAATTAAAATGGTAATTAATGGCTTTTATAATAATCAATAATTATAATAATAATAAATGATCAATTAGGTATTTAAGAACAACATTTATACTCCCTTAACCCGAAGGACAAGTCAATTATTTTACTTTTCAATTTTTGTTTAGTGTACACTGCAAAAGGCAAGAATATTTTATTGTCAAACACGCCTATGCCTTAAACCTGATTAAAAAGAAAAATAAAGAAATATTAATTGATTGTATATTGTTTAACGTCCCATTCGAGAATTTTCACACATACAGAGACGTCACCGTATGTTGGTGAAGGGCTTCAAATGTAGACCTATACTTGGCACTCAGAGCCATTGAGCAGTGAGAGTTCTTCACCATGCCAACGCCTACCGTGACACGGGACCTACGTTTTTAAGGCCATATCCAAAAGACCCGTGACTTTCACTTCTAGTGCCGAGGGCTTGGCAAAGGAACAGTCACTCCTTATGTTTACGTCTTAGGTTTGACGTGGCGCCGCGAATGAGAATCGAACCCGGGCCTCCCGATCGCGAAGCGAACGCTCTACCACTAGGCTACCGTGACCGGTAAAAATAGTGCAACAAGAAGAGGATCTAATAATTACATGCTTGATATTTTCAGCCCCAACAGCCATTTTTGGAAACTGTCTCGTTCTTTTTGTATTCTGGCGTAAGAGTTTGTACAAGAGACCTGTAAACTGGTTTATTGTCAACCTAGCGGTGGCGGATCTAATAGTTTCCCTTTTGGCACATCCAATGTCAGCGACCACTGCCTTTAGCAAGAGGTAATTATTGTAATATTAAAAGAATATTCATTTTCACTGGAATCAAAATAAATCAAGATAAAAGACGTATTTTCCCATAGGTATTTGAATATTTCCTGTCATAACCTTTTGAAGTCCTAATTAAATCCCCTTTCCATTTGCTTACTATGTCGTTAAGAGGTTATTTCTGGTAATATCGTGAAAGAGGAAGTTCTAGGTTTTTAGCAGATTTATTTTAGCTTTTCATTTTTTGATTAAAGTTTGAACATTGTTCGTCTGTTTTCTACTAGTCTGCTATCTGCCTGTGAATAAATTTTCACTATTTTGACTTATGTTTGGTTGAAAGTCATTAAATCAATGTTTATTCTAAATAAAGACTTTGTCACCTTCCAATGCTGTCCAAAGTGACAAATTATCTAAGTATCTTTCTCTTAAAATGCCAGGACAATAAAACTAATAAAAGGTCGATGTGTCACGTCGCTCACCTGAGTTACTATTGCCAATGCTGTTCTTCAGCAGCAGTTTTGAGCCATGCATATTCTCAAGTAAAACTTTGGTTATATTGTGTGCCCCCCTTGACTAATGACTCCTAACAGAACTACGCTACATGAGGGTGCTTCCATATCAGTATGGCTAACCACATCTTTGTTGTTCTTGTATAGAAGATTGAAACGTTTACCTATATAAATTTAAAAAAAATTGTTCCAGAAGAATTTTCCTATATATACATGTATCTATTTAAATTTTTTATCGCCCATTCCAGTCCCGTTTTACCACAGGGTTCATGATTTCAACAAAATTTCAAGGATGCCTCTAAACAATTTTACTAAACATGGCTCTGCTGTTCTTTGGAATGACCTTTTAAAAAGTTTTTTCCTGTATTTTCCTTTGATCACTAATGGAATTCCATCTTAGCCCCAGGGATAATGATTTTAACTTTAACTTTACTTTAACTCAGGATGCTTCCATATAAATATATTCTATTTGTTTATATTCCTATATATTTAATAATTTATTGTGAACCCAAATAGTTATGATTTGAACAAAATTTATAACAAAATCTACATTAAATAACAAAACATTCACTTATTCAATCTTTTCTGACAAAGTCAATATTAAGAAATTACTTTTTAAATATTTTTTAATTACCGGTATGTCCTATTGAAAGAAAGTATGACCTTTCGTTTAAACAAACTAAGATTCCTTTTGCCTAATGATGCCCTGTAGCATATTCGGCCGATAAATTGGAAGAAATTCTTCAAAATCAAATGTCAGTTTTAAATATTTTTAATATTCCACAGAGCCAAAAGGAATTTGAACTACCCTATATATACTGGATTCCGAAACTTCATAAAAATCCTTACAAACAAAGATACATTGCGAGTACTCTGAGGTTGACATCAAAGAAATGCTTGAGTTTCTGATTGACAATATCTACGTGGTTTTTGGAGACCAGGTATTCCAACAATCTATTGGAATTCCCATGGATAACAATTGCGCTCCGTTATTAGCGGACCTATTTTTATATTCATATGAAGCAGAATTTGTGCAAAATCTTATGCGTGAAAAGAAGAAAACACTTGATGTGGCCTTCAACTCGACATTTAGATATATCGACGACGTTTTGTCAATTAACAATGGTCATTTCCATTCCTACGTCGATACGATATATCCTGGTGAGCTTGAGATAAAAGATACCACAGAGTCTGACACATCTGTTTCACACTTGGATATTTTACTCGAAAAAAGACATTAATGGTAATCTAACAACCAAGCTATATGATAAACGTGATGACTTTAACTTTTCTATCGTCAACTTCCCTTACTTATGCAGCAATATACCTTCGTCATCTGCATACGGAGTGTATATATCTCAGTTGATTCGATACGAAAGAGCTTGCTCTACGTATGAACAATTTCTAAAACGAGGTAAATTATTAACAACCAAGTGAAACAAGAATATCAGCCGTCTCGTTTTTAGTCATCATTTCGTACGTTCTGTGGTCGATACAATGACCTTGTCAGCAAATACAATTTAACATTGTGTCAAATGCTGACTGACATTTTACGTACTAATTGTTAGACCATTATTTATACACTGAATTGACGACGGATTTTTCCGTTATTTCCTGATCATGACAAGGAGCACACGGCGGGTGTGACCGATCAGCAGGGGATGATTACTCCTCCATGGCACCTGATCCCACCTCTGATGTTTCGGAGGTCCGTGTTTGCTCTGCTCTTATTTTGTATTGTTTTATGGACTTTGAGATTGAATACTGTTCGTTATCTCCATATCCCTCTCATAAGAAATTGATATGTGAAAAAAGAAGGTATGGATTTAGCTTTATTGTGCCCTAAAAATTCAATGTTTTCAGAAAGTTTTGAAACCGGTTAAATATAAGAAGAGTTTATGACTGTGACAGATCAGAAAAGAATATATAGCATGAAGGAGTACCATTCTGGAACTATGACATCATTAATTTGATGTATTTCTCAATTTGAAAAAGAGAAAGCCTTAAAATGACCCATTTCAAAGGTAATTTTCGTTCAGAGAAAAGTGTCCACAGCCGTCGCCCACCTTTGTTTTTGGATATGTTGTCCAAAAGTCAATAAATAATGACATATCTCAAAATCTTTGCGGGTGATGCCTGTGGACAATTTTACCTGAAAGAAAATTCCATTGAAAATTGCTGTCTTCTGCAACATTTAAAGAAAATACGGGAAAATGCATATGTTTATGACGTCACAATTAGCATTTATAAATGCATATGAGAAAAATAATTTGTATGATTTTTCTGTATGGGATTTCAATGATTAAGAAAGCATGGGTTTTCATTTTTTACATCAGTTTCATTTTGCAAAATCACAAGGCAAGATCTGTATTGAAAGCGTACCTTGTTCTTTAACAAAAAATTGATACCAGATGCGCAGGGGAGCTAAAAATATGATCAAAATTCTTCAAAAGGTCAGCAAGAGTCATGATTGGTCAAATCAATGAAAGCAGCCATAAACAATGCACAATTTACCATCTTTTAAAAGATGCCCATATCAAGAACAAGAAAAACAACAATTTTTAAAAGTTGATATATAACCAAACATTTAAACAATAGATTCCAGTTTTCTTGTAAACCAGTGTCTAAAGGCTTGGAAAAGTCTTTAATATGATAATAAGGAAGACAAATGATATATTGGAAACTTTTCAAAAATCTTCTGAATAATGTAAAGTCTGTATACAAGTACTCCTATGACATAGTTTAAGTTCATGAACACTGTGCACACTGTACAATCATTAATTATTTTTTAAACTATACTATAAATTATTTTACAGAAACACAAATATTACAGTTTTTTTTATTTGATTCTAAGACGTCCTTAACAGTTATGTTAAAATCTTGATCATGAAATGTAGTGTAATGTACATATTTAGAATATACATTGACCAGAAAAGAACTGTAAACTGTGAGTGTTTGGGCCATGGGCCTTTTTTAGTTATCGAATCTGAATGGGAAATAAAGCATACCATTCTGTATTAGAGATTTTTAGAAAAACACACACACATTATGTAAAAACTATCTTTTAGACTGAAATTCTGAGTGTTTTATATTCTAAAAATGCATTAGGCTTACATTTTAACGTGATTCTATTTACAGATGGAGTCTTGGTGTAGTAGGTTGTCAATTGTATGCCTTCATCAGTTATACAGGTGCTTGTAACAACATCATGACCTATGCTGCTATTAGCTATTTCCGCTGCCAAATTGTCTGCAAAAACAGATACAGTAAGTTAAAAAGTGAAAGTAGAATGGTTTAAAATTCGAAATAAAGGGTTTTCATGTCATATATCTACTAAAGATTAGTAAAAGAGAAGAAAGAAGAAAAATTTAAGAGTGTTCATTGTAGAACTAATGCGTTCTTCACTTTACTCAAATTGATTCTGCAGCACATTTTCTTTTACTTCCCTTTTTAATACCATATGTCTGTACATGCAAGAAAAAAAGGAGTGCAACCACTTATTTCAACTTTCAACTCACTTACCTTAATTTAAACATTTCAGTAGCTCGAGTGAAGTGTGGGAGGATCCTAGGAACGCTGGTGGCGATCTGGATCTTCAGTTTGTTTTGGACTATTTCCCCGCTCCTGGGTTGGAACAGTTATGAGCTGGAGCCGTACAATATAACCTGCAGTATCCGCTGGACGGGTCATTCTCTGGGGGACAAGTCCTATGTTTGGTTGTGTCTCCTGTTTGTCTTTATATTCCCGCTGTCTGTTATGATCTTCTCCTACAGTCAAATCGCTAATCATGCACGGCGTCTCTCCTTAACCACACAGCCAAGCGACATCGAGAATAAGTCCAAGTTCCTGTATAACTTGGAGAGAGGGGCAACAAGGGTAAGTTATTTAAGGAGAGTTAATTTTAAACCGAGTCTTCCAAGGAATGTTTAAACTTATAAATCAAGAATGTTTTTGCAGTGCTAGCCAAATTGTTATTTCAGAGAGATATTTGGACAATTTTCTTTAAAACTTGTAACTTCAGATTTTTTTTTTTCACTTTTTCTAAGCCTAAGGACATACACTGTATATGCAAACTTTAAATTATACTAACAGATAAATTGTATATGTCTCGCTTCTTAATAAGCACCAACATTTAATGCTCTCACTCCAAAGCAACGAGGATCACTTGAAGGAAGCTAGAAGCTTGAAGGTGCTCATTTAAAGAAAAGAGCTAATATGACTGTTACTGAAAAAAAGAACATGTGTCTGATATTGATATATAGCAATCGAATTCTACCTTTTACGCATAGTCTACGTGCATTTGTACTTTGAATAATGCAGATTGGGTGAAAAGTATCCTTATTATTCAACATAAGTGTTAAATAGTGTAGGCCAGCATTAGATTATATTTATCATTTCGCTTTATGCTAATTTTCTGTTTTGATGAAACAAGATTTCTGAACATTGTTTTATTATTATGTTTAGAGTAAAACTCTTACTATGAACATATGGCTAATCTCTTGATTCAGATGTCACAACCATACATTTGATATATCTATTGATTCAGATTTCAGAACCATACATTCGATATATCTATTGATATATTTTTTTCTTACTATCAGATTTCCCTTATGATGACAATGACCTTCGTATTTACATGGACGCCATACGCCATTTTATCCACAGTAGCCGCAGCTGGCATCAACATCACTTCACCTGTCGTTTTACTACCAACGCTTTTCGCTAAATCATCTTGTGCTTACAACCCATTTATGTTCTTTCTAAGCCACAATACATTCAAATCATTCAAATGGGGTTTCGACTCGTGCACTAAAAACAATGCAGAGGATTCTGGGAAACTGTACGTGAGCAAGGTTAAATTTAACAATCGAGTGGAGCCTTCCGAGTTACCCAGCTGCTCCACAGGTGAGAGAAATGTAGTACAGACTACCAAGCAACAAAACAACAAAGTCGTAACTCTTACCATTTCTGATGTTGAAGAAAGTGGTATATAGCGTAAATCAGCACATGTGCTTAAAATCAATCAAGTAATCGAATCGAATTGGAGAAAATGTACGTTCCCCAAATTTATCATAACTTAAAATATTTTCTCCACTGAATGGTTACTGAAAACCAACTGTTATTCGCGATTTATCAGTTTAAAATTTATGCGCTATACGGCGAATTTCTTGACTGGGGAATTGCATGCAATTTTCTCAAATAGAAAATGAAAGAATAAATTGGAGGCGAGAAGCATTTCCAGTAAGAGAAAGAAAGTCTCTTGCATATATGTGAATAAAATTTGGTTATCTGTTCTGATATACTTCAAATTTGAATATCAAGGTATTAAGTATTTTTATTATACACATACATTTTTTTTATATTTGTGTTTTCTTAACCACATTAGACTGATTAATACGGAAGCCCTGGAGGGACATTGACTTACTTGTTATGACTATTTTGTTATAACTTTTTTGGTTTTGATTTATTTGTTGTGAATGTTTCGTAGCTAGAGATAACTAAGTGTAAGAAGGCTACTGAAATCTGTTGCTTGGCTTACTTTTATAATAAAAATAATGTTTAGTCCTATTTTAACTGTGGTTTTTGATTGACGAATTTTAGTTTAACGTCCAGTACAGTCGTAATTTCTAAAGTAAATATTATTTTTGTTGTTTTTACTTAATTCTTATTTCCTTAGAGTTATTACTTAATTCTTATATGTAACTTCCATTTTGCATAATGATTGAAGACAAGAACATGACTGCTATTTTATCTTGTCGTTAGTAATAAATTCAAGGACATTTTTTCTGGAACTATACGTTGCCTCCATCTTTCACGCCACTTTTGTGAAGTAAACTTGTCTTAACAAATTTAAAATAATAAGAATTCAAAGTTTAGTCATAAGAAATAAGTCAAAACACATAAGAAATAAGTCAAAACACATAAGAAATAAGTCAATATCCCTCAAGGGCGTCCGTAATTAACATATAAAAATTTAGTAATCACGTCATTTTTGTACGTTTAACTACAATACTACAATTAATTGTTCTCAGTAGCTTACCTGAACTTAGTAAGAACTAACAAAAAAATCTCAAAACAAATACGTCAAAACAAATAAGTTATAACAAATAAGTCATAACAAGTAAGTCAATGTCCCTCCAGGGCTTCCGTAGATTAATCAATAGTGGAAAGTTATTTTTTATGATGTATGAATGCCTTGCTTTTGTTTAACTGAAGATTCTGTTTGTGGTTATTTTTCAAACTACTAGTAATTTATTGATGTTCTTTTTTTGCTTTCAATTCTTTTTTATAACAAAGGTTACGCCTACCTTGACGATACTTCTGTAAGGAGGGAGGCGATGAATATACAAAGTAATTTTGATTAATCCCAAAAAAATGTCATCCTACTCAACGTAAGAAATGTCGAAATATATTGCATATTGCACCTATACATTAAATGAATGATTGTTTTGAAATTTTTCTATTCATGTATAGCTAATAAACTGGTTGAATTAGAATGAATTATGTTCTTAATCTGTTTTAAAAAAAAAATCCGTGAGTTTGAGTGAAAAATTATACAGCTTTACATGATGCTTTAGTTATAAAACTATTTTGACATGTGTATATAATTTCTGAGATGCCATTAAGTAGTGCTTCAATGCATGTTACGGGAAATAACGTTTTTCTAACTATCTGGATCTAAAGAAGCGTTAATAAGAATTCTATCCCCTTCAGCATGCAAATAAATTTTTTGACTTAAAAATAAATTCAACATTATAAGAAATTCTTGTTGTCATACAGCTGTGGAGATGAATAAAGGGAGTTTAGCCCTATCGGTATGCCTGGTGGTCTGGCAAATAATTGATTGATAATAATGTGTTGTTTTACGTCCAGTTTGAGAATTTTTTAACTCATAAAAAGAGGCCAACATACACTGTTGAAGGGCATTTACTCCTAGCTTTCTACTCAATCGTTTAAAGTATCGTACAGTGTATCCAACTAGACGTATTGTGAGCAATGAACTCACTAAATGATACCCCCGGCTCCCATCTGAATGACAGTGTCCATGTTTTGCTATGGGAAACCCAATATGAGTGCATGTCGGATCAAAAAGTAAAACAGAAGGTGTGCATGACATTAGGTAATAAAGATTTCTGAAAGTTTCATCAAATTTCATTCTGTGGTATAAGAGGAGTTGCGGATAAGAGATGGGTACTCCAAAGCGTAACAGACGGACGAAAGGACATCTCGATTACTATATTTCTTCTGTCACTCTAAGTGTATAATTACCTTTTGTAAACGAAATAAAAAAAGTAAAAACTCAGGGTGAAACACACGGGATGTTATAACTGTTTTCCTTTTTCTCAGCATACTTAAGCGTATATTATTTTTTCTGCCTCATGAAAGACTATATTATAAGATTATATAGTGATTTTCCTGTTTCTTCTTATTTTCATGCCCCCGTAAACAAAGTATATAATTTTTGCCCTGTCCGTCCGTCTTTTTGTATGTTTGTCAGCAAAAACTTTAACCTTGCCCGTATTTTTTGACTGGGTGGGACTTTGGCTTTCATAATACACAGGTATATTTCTTGTGGTAAGACCTTTCTTTAGATACCACCATATTTGATCTCTTGACCTTGGAGGTTGACATACCGGGTACTTTTACAGCAAATTTCCAAACTTTTACTTTTGCCATAACTGTAAAACGGTTGGTGCCAGGACTTTCATTCTTCACATATGTATTTTTCATGACAAGACCTTCCATTGAATACCAACAACTTTAACTTGATCTTGGAGATTGATATACTTTTAAAAGCTTTAACATTGGCCATAACTTTTGACTGGCAAAAGCTAAGGCTTTCATACTTCAAATATGTAATGCCTGTGCAAAACCTTTCATTGGACACCAACAACTATGACCCATAGACCTTGACATTGGAGTTTGACCAACTTTAACCTTGGCAATTACTTTTGAACGGTTGGTGTTAGGAATTATAAAGCTGCAGAACTGTAGCTTTTCGAAAAAAATATGTATTGACAGACCGGAGAGCTACACTGCCACCCATTAAAAAGAACTGTATATTTATTGCGCTCAAAAAAGTGCGATGTTTCTCGATGTTTTTCTCCATGTTTTTAAAACTGCCATCTCAAAATAATACTAACCGTGTGTTCCTTACATATTCTTTACATACACTGTTTCCACAACAAAACATTCCCAATAATTGTTTAAAAAAGCCCTCCTCGCAGTGAAATTGAGATCATCGAAATTTCGCCTACTTAAAAAGCCATTTTGGTTTGCAAGATTATTCGGTCCAACACGCATCGTGCAGATGTAAAGTACGAGAGTACTTGATAGAGGAGTAAGGACTTTTTTGAAATCTAGCTTTTATTTGCAATTCAGGACAGATTTTGCAAGAATTAATCCAAAACCGCGCGCACTTTTTTGTGTGCAATAACTATACATTTTCTTCATGAGTGGCACTGTAGCTCTCCGGTCTGTCAAAAAAAAGGAAAAAAAAATCGGAGAGCTACAGTTCTGCAGCTAGGACTTTCATACTTCAAATATTTTTGTTTTTGAACGGGACCCTCTGTTAGATACCAACCACCTTGACCTTTTGACTTTGATCTTAGAGGCCTACTTTTAAAAAACCTAAACCTTGGACGTAACTTTTGAACACGTGGTGCCAGGACGTTCATACTTCACATGTGTAATCCATTTTATAGAACCTTTCATCGGACACCAACAACTTTTACCCTTTGACCTTGGAGTTTGTCCTACTTTTTAAAAACTTAAACCTTATCAATTATTATACCTTTTGAACGGTTAGGGCTGGGCTTTCATTTTCCCTTATGTAATCTTTGTAACAAAACCTTTCTTCAAAAAACCAACAAGCTTGACCCTTTGACCTTGAGTTTGACCTACCTTTGAAAAACGTTAAACCTGGCAATAACTTTTGAACAGTTGGTGCTAGGGTTTGTATTTCTCATTTGTAGTTCTTATGACAAGACCTTTCATTGAATATCAACAATTTTGACACTTTGACCTCGACTTCGGAGTTTGATCTATTTTTTTATTAACCTTAGCAATAACTCTAGAAAATTTAGGGCTAGGCTTTCATTTTTAGCTCACCTGAGCCGAAGGCTCAATTGAGCTTTTCTGATCACATTTTGTCCGTCGTCCGTCCGTCCGTCCGTCCGTCTGTAAACTTTTCACATTTTCGACTTCTTCTCAAGAACCACTAGGCCAAATTTATCCAAACTTGGTACAAAGCATCCTTGGGTAAAGGGAATTTAAATTGTTAAAATGAAGGGCCAGGTCCTCTCACAAGAGGGAGATAATCAAAAAATACAAAAATTGGGTGGGGTCATTAAAAAATCTTCTTCTCAAGAACCACCGGGCCTGAAAAGCTGAAACTTGGGTGGAAGCATCCTAGGTTAGTGTTGATTCTAAATTATTCAAATCATGACCCCCGGGGGTTGGGCGGGGCCACAATGGGGAATCAAAGTTTTATATAGAAATATATAGGAAAAATCTTTGAAAAGTCTTCTTCTCAAGAACCACTGGGCCAGAAAAGCTGAAACTTAGGTGGAAGCATTCTGGGGTAGTGTAGATTCTAAATTGTTCAAAATATGACCCCCGGGGGTTGGGCTGGGCCACAATGGGGAATCAAATTTTACATAGAAATATATAGGGAAAATCTTTCAAAATCTTCTCAAGAACCACTGTGCCAGAAAACCTGAAACTTAGGTGGAAGCATCTTTGGGTAGTGTAGATTCTAAATTGTTCAAAACATGACCCCCGGGGGGTTGGGCGGGGCCACAATGGGAATCTACACTACCTAAGGATGATTCCACCTAAGTTTCAGCTTTTCTGGCCCAGTGGTTCTTGAGAAGATTCTTAAAGATTTTTCCGATATATTTCTATGTAAAATTTTGAGATTCTAAATTGTTCAAATCATGACCCCCCGGGGTTGGGTGGGGCCACAATGGGGTATCAAAGTTTTACATAAAATATAGGGAACATCTTTAAAAATCTTCTTCTCAAGAACTACTTAGCCAGAAAAGCTGAAACTTAAGTGGAAGCATCCTGGGTTAATAGTGTTAATTTCAAATTGTTCAAATCATGACCCCCGGGTGTAGGGTGGGGCCACAATAGTGAATCAAAGTTTCACATAGATACATATAGAAAAAAAAACTTTAAAATTCTTTTTCTCAAGAACTACTTGGCCAAAAAAAAGCATGAAACCTATGTGGAAGTATCCTGGTTAAGAATAGCATGATCATAGCTTCTCAGGTGAGCGATGTGGCCCATGGGCCTCTTGTTTTCTTATGTACAATCTTTGTGACAAAACCTTTCTCTAAAAACAAACAACCTTGACCATTTGACCTTGAACCTGGAGATTGACCTACCTTTAAAAACATTAACCTTGGCCATATTTTTTGAACAGATGGTGCTAGGGTTTTATATTTTACATTTGTATTTTTTCTTGGAAGGACTAACTTTGGGTATCACCATGTTTGATTTGCATTTGAATGTTTCAAAAACACATCTTGTTTACTTTATAAGTTTGTGTAAACGAGTTCTCGAGCACCAAAAATGGATTTATTTTGAAAGGAATAAAATATGCAAAATATGTAAAAATAACGATCGAAAGTCGTGTAAGGTGTCATGGAGGAGTGAGTACTCCCTGCCGACCGGTCACATTCGCCATGTGCTCCTTGTCATGATCGGGGGAAAACAGAAAATAATGTCAACAATTCTGTGAGTAAAAAATTTTATTTCAATAAGTATAAAAAAAAATTAGTCAGCAATTGACTCAATTAAGATAGTGTTCATATGTAGAGCATGCTCTTGCGTATTGATATACATGTAAACCCTGTATGCAGGTGATAAGGGTATAATGCTGTGCACTTTATAAAACTTCTAAGTGTTAACTCTAATAAATGTATTTATTTAAGGAATCACTGTCTAGTTAGTATAGTATGCCAGGGCATCAACGATAGTGGGAAACATGGGATAATTTGCATAACGGGCGAAGCCCGTTATGCATAAATTATCTCATGTTTCCCACTATCGTTGCATGATGTCCCTGGCATACTATACTAACTAGACAGTGATTCCTTATATTTCCATTTCATTGTGAAATAAAATTGTAGATTTAGACTTTAAAAATGTTGACATAGACTTTAAATTACACGAGGACTTCCATGCCAATTTCAATAATCCTCGCCCACTGACGTCAAACACGTAGGCAGCCGCACGAGATTTACATGCATATTTAGCCTCCTTAGCGTCAGACACAGAGATAGATGCGCACGAGATTTGCATGCATATTAGGCCTCCTTAGCTCCTGACCTATTCGACCTGCCTAATTTGCATTCCGGCAGAATTATCAAGAAATAAACTCGGACAACTTTCAAAGAGTTATCACAGAGAAAAAAATTGGAAATGGAAATATTTAAACACTACTTTATAGAATGGTGGAATATTTTCAAATTATTACGAAAAATGAGTCTTCTCAACAATTGTTGAAAGAAAATCAAATATCACCGATGAAAACCAATGTTCCATGACGTAGCTTAAAACAATAGATCTGTACTTTGCAGCACGTGTTTTGTGTAATTAGCATCTTTTTGTGATCATGATCAAATTTAAGAAACTGGTTTCATTAAAAATAATTAAAAAAAAAAACAAATCATTGGCGAAATGACCATTGAGAAAGAAAGGACAGCCGTCGGAATGCTGATATATGAATCATCCTTGCACCACGTTTTACTCACTTTTGTCTTAGTTTTTTTATTGTCTTTGATATTACTTTTAAAAAATAACAACCAGTATCAAAACCCATCTAAACACAATTTTCTATAGGCTGTTCGTCATTCTCATCGCCAATTTATCACAAATTGAAAGCTTTGAACAAAATTTAACCAAACTGGAAGTGACCTTGATTTTCGTCTGAGGCCAAGGTTTCGCATCATACCATGTTCAAAGGCTGTTAAATTGTCCTGAAACAATCTCGGAAACATGAACACAAACAATTTCAATTGTATGATAATGATAAGAAATCGGTGCTCGTGGCTGTCTAATATCATCTCAAGCAGTCTGAATCATCCCTAAAGCGGTGCACCTACGTGCTAAACGTCCGCGAGGATGTAGACCAAAAGGCCTTTGTGTGATGCTGCACTGTCAAATTCCCGCATCTGAATCCGTTTGAACAAATTTGGGATTTTTATAAGGAATGTCAAATCCCCACTTCCACACAATTTCAACGGGTTGGAAAGATCTGTGCAGTTGGTGTGACAGCATATGGGCCAATCTCCTATTCAGGGGCACATGGTATCCAACAAAGGATCCTTGTAGTAATTAGAGGGTGTGGTGGTCTGGGTACCTGTAAAGTGCGAAACGAAATAGAAACGAAACGAAACGAAACGAACTGAAACGAAACGAAATCTGCCGAAACGAAACGAAACCTACCGAAACGAAACGAAATCAAGACGAAACGAAACGAAATCAAAACGAAACCTGTCGAAACGAAACGAAACAAATCTTTCAGTGTGTTTTTTTTTTTCAAATCAAGCTGAAATTTATATAGTTCAAGCACCACAGGCAATTGTTTCTCTTCAAGCTCATACAAAGGCGTCGGAAGGAAATTGAAAGTGAGGGGTGGGTGGGTGGGCTTAACCAACAATAAAGGTCAACCCCAATTTTCAATGCCTATATATGTCTTTGCAAAAAAATTGGGGGGGGGGGTTAGCCCCCCCCCCCCCCGCTTCCGACGCCTATGTCATATTTTGTTAATATCTTACTGAATAATTTACCTACTTAAAAATGACATCGTTCGCTTCGAGAGACTTTTTTTCTTGTCAGTTAAATCGTTTTAGACGTCTCTGATCGAGCCTCTTTCTTGCAAACCACTCCTTTCTTCCTTGAAAATTACCCCGATACAAAATAGGACCGTATGCATGTAGAAAGGATACAAACTTCCGCCAGAGTTCGTTTGCTCACAAACCAAAGGCCTCGACGGGGAGTATGAGAAAGGATACACAAGGAGTTACATGTATAATTGAACGATAAACCCAGACACCTCGGAATGGAATACTAAATACTCTAAGTATCTGGTTTATCCTATGTTTTAAGACATTCGCAATACAACAATACAGTGACTTTATTTCGACCCGTACATAATCGCCTTTACATGTAACACATCAATTTTGATAGATATCTTGTATATCTTGTATATCTCGATAACGACGGATTTTTTCCGTTATTTCCTGATCATGACAACGAGCACACGGCGGGTGTGACCGGTCGGCAGGGGATGCTCACTCCTCCATGGCACCTGATCCCACCTCTGATGTTTCGGAGGTCCGTGTTTGCTCTGCTCTTATTTTGTATATTGTTTAATGGACTTTGAGATTGAATACTGTTCGTTATCTCCATATCCTTCTTGTATCTAGATAAATAAGGACTGAAAATAAGAGTAAGATATGAAAATTAGAAAATACTGCACATATTGAAATTATACATGCATAGTACGCTCGTGAATATTTGTAGCTGGCAAACATGTAAATACATCATTAGACTGAGAAAGGAGCATAATTTATCGGTAATAAAATTTTATATTAAGATGTGCTTGAACCATATAAATTTTATTTGAAGTTAAAAAAAATTCCACATGCAATTACACAAAAATAATTATATACATGTACCTTGATTTAAAGAATAAAACATTTTGATAGTTTTTTTCGTTTCGTTTCGACAGGTTTTGTTTTGATTTCGTTTCGTCTTGATCTCGTTTCGTTTCGGTAGATTTCGTTTCGTTTCGGCAGATTTCGTTTCGTTTCAGTTCGTTTCGTTTCTATTTCGTTTCGCACTTTACAGGTACCCGTGGTGGTCTTACTCCATTAAGATTATTTAGCGTGAATTTTCATTTTGAGGGTAAATCATTTCCTTGACACTTTGCTTTAAAGTCTGAAGAAATACTTACATGAAATTTTCGAACTGAAATATGCCTCATTAACCATGAATTAAAGAAAATTATTTATTGAATGCATTTTTTAAAACTTAAAAAATGTTAGGTGAACATGTAGAAGTTTGGTTCAGTGTATAAGTAAGGGAAGTTGAGGATTAAGAACTCGTCACGTTTATTATAAGTCTTTGTTCTTAGATTACCATTAACGTCTTTCTTCTGTGAAATATCCAATTATCAAACAAATGTTTAAGACTCTGTCTTGTCTTGGATGTCAAGCTCAACGGGATAACATTCTATTCCATATGAATACAAAAACGGTTTACTAATAAAGGCGCCCATGGGAATTCCCATGAACTCGAGCACCTTTTACAATCAACTTCAGAGTACAGACTATTATATGCTTCAATTTTATTCATGACATCTGATGTTATTTTGAAGATCTGTGTTCGTCCTTCTCCCGATCTGTATTGTGACAATGTATTTTTGAGTATGGTTGTTGTACACAATCTATTTGATTTATTTTTGATTTGCTCAATATTGATACCATTTGTGTATTAACAACTTAACTTCAGATCCAACATATTTTTTTTTAAATTCTCAATCTACGTAGTGTGAAATTCGTAGACCAGAGGAATCTACAAAATATCTGTGTTATAGAATCAATTCTGTTTTTGAAATAATCTTATTTTCATTATATATTTAGTAATGATTGACTCTTTTAATATATGAATGTCAAGCAACATTAGTTTTCACCCCAAATGCCAGCTTAGAAAAATCCTAATACTTTGAAATCACTAATATTCGTGTGGTGTTTATTTTCGTTGTTTTGAAGAGACCTCCATATGAGTGAAAAATTCTCGAAAGGGACGTTAAACAATATACAATCATATACATGAAGAGACCCACGAATTTATGTCCACCACGAAATGCAATTTTTCACATATATTACTACTGAATAATTCTTAAACCTCGAAATCAATCCCCATGAACCAATATATTTTTCTCAATCCACGAAAATTTTACCCCTCGAAAATATGTGGTTTTACAGTACTCAATCCAATCTGTCATTTTATAATCCTATCCAGTGTGGGTAGAAAAAATCCATGAAGTCTGAGCTGAAGGTATGTCGACGTTTTGAATCTTCTAAAACGGGCCATTTATAGAATGTCACTGTTCCGTTAGTAAACCAGCCTGCCCACCAGCTAAAGGAACCAACCGACGATATCATGTGATCACACGACGCCATTAAAGCCAAATCTTCTTCCGGTAAATTTCCGTCCATAAATTCGACCGTGTAGTTTTTAGGAATATTTGCTTTACTCCAAGCCATACCATTGGAACAAACAACAAAAATTGGACTGGAGTAACTTCTAAAGTATTGGAAAGCTTTTTCAAAGTACTCCTTAGTTGCAATCGAAAGGACATTTTCAAGGCTTAAGGTGACTACATCTCCACGTCTTACGTGGACAGCGATAAGAGTAACATTCTCTCTGGAAGTATTATATTTCCTTAAAACATTTTCCATTAACTTATTTGCTTTTGTTTGAATGTGACTTCTAAATTTAAGAATTTCTCGTAGTTCATTTGACACATTATGGAAATATTTCCATGACTGCAAATATCGCCCCACTCTATATGTTGCATCTGATTTAAAATCTACAATATCTTTATCATAAGAATGCGTTTTATGCTCTTTTCGATATATTGCGTTGTCACACTCGTGTTTGTTTGTACTGATCAGAATGTTTTTACTGTCTTTTATTTGAAATATTTGGTATACTTTATCAGATTCTCCGACTACTAACTTCATACCTTTAGAGGCAGCAATTCCGTATCCAGAGGCAAACTGAAATAAATTACTTCCAAGTCTTCCCATATACTTAACACAAACATAAAACTCGGTTGACTGTTTGTTTGTGATGGATACTGGTGAGGTTGTAAATTTGGCAATGGAAGAAAACATCGACATTCCTTTAGAGCCATGTTTTATTACTGGTATGTTTCCACTCCAAATTGTATCTCCTTTAGAGACATTTGTTCTCCTTCTAGTATTTGGCGTCTCTGTGGAATTGTTTTGGAGTTCTACTCTTCCCAAGATATTACCTGAAGACACCTGATGTTTTCGTAAAGTACCGTTTAAAAAGCTTTTGCGGATAGATTGGTCAGGTTCAAGATGCTTGCTCATCATGATGAGGGTAACGACAGTTATAAACATTGCAACGTATGTCAAACCTGCAGTGATAAAATAGCCATAGATTAATATACCCTATAGTTTTAATTAGTTGTACGAAAAATTGCCAAATATTATAAGTCTAAAAACAAGAAATCTCATTACTTTATGGAATATTAAAAAAAGAATCTATTCATGATAAAAATATTTTCAAACCAAGATGAAAATAAGTATAAATTGATTTACTTACTGCGTTTTATATTCAAAGATAAACCATTTGTTGAAATGGATAAAATGGTTTCTTTATTTCCCATTTTAACTAAATCAAAACCGAGAAATATACATATACTGAAATGTCGTTAAAAGATGCTTAGAAACAGATTTGAAGTTAATACTTTCTCACATTTTCTGAATAATATCACGAATTATATATTTTAGCATTATATTTTAGAATTATAGCATATCACAAGAAAATATGATATCTTTTTCTTAATCTAGAAGTTATTGAAACTTCGAATTTCTAGACGGGTTTGATTGACACATCCTTGCACTTTCACAACTTATCATTAATGATAACTGTTAATAAAACTATAATCTAAAAATCACATCTCTTATTGAGAGACCACCTTGTACCTGCCGATTGAGAGCTGCAATTTAGACTTATACTAGGCACTCAGGGCCATTGACCAGAAAGGGATCGTTTAGTACGTGTCCCAGCACCTAGTTCGACACGAGACCATAGGGCCACTGCACAGTAAGGATCTTTTAATACCAGCACCTAGTTCGACAAGAGACCATAGGGCCACAGCACAGTAAGGATTTTTTCCTACAACATCTACTGCGACACGAGAGACCTCGGTTAATACGGTCTCGACTGAAAGACCGGCCTTCAAACCAACTGTGGAATATGAAAGTGAGGAAGTATATTTAAAGGATAAAATAGCAAATCCATAGAGAAAAAAACCAGTTTTAACCTGATCCAACATTCTCCACATTTTCGTTCCGTATATTCTATCTATAAATGAAATCTTATCGGTATTCATGAATTAGTGCATCCTCGCCTGCGCCAAAGCCGCTAAAGTACAGTCCATGAAACGTTCTACTTTCCCAGTTTTCCGTTCGTTCAGCGTGCGTTCACCGTTGGCTCTCCGTTCACAGTTTTGCTTTCACCGTTCACCGTGCACTCGCGTTAACCGTTCACAAAACGTTCACCGTTCGCTCTTCGTTCAGTGTACTTTGCGTTCACCTTGCGTTCAGCGTACACTTATCGGTCAGTCTTTATTGTCATTTGGAACACCAAAGTGACAGGACTTATCTTTTTGATGGTAAGGATTTAGACGTTATTTTAATTTGATAAGTAAGATATAGTGTTTAAAGAATCATTATTTCATGGCAAAAATAATCCACGATATTTATTCTTTTTAATATTGAAGCTTAAGTATGAAGCCTGCAATTTTAAGTACAAATACAGTATCAATTTGTACAACAGGGGAATTGTAGGACGGAATAAATACAATGCCTAGTAACATTAACCTAAATTCAAATATCTTTTGAATTCTACATTTAACTAGCAGCATCTAATTACAATTTGGAGAATTAAATTTTACCATTTAAATTTAAAGGTATTTGGTTTAAAGCCGCAACTTACCCTTTAGGTTTCGTCCCAGCTGTAGTTTCTTTTCTTATTTCATCATTTTTATGTTTTTGGATAGGACATTCTACAAATTATGTAGCTCGGCTGAATATCATATTTAATTTTTTTTAATCACAATCGATCAAAATGATGTTAAAAGAGTATGGCCGATAATTCTTGGAAAACAGATGTCGAAATTACGAAAAAAACATATATATTTTAAAATTTTATTTATTCTTAAAATTGACTGTCATTGTTCTTATATGACGTGATATCAATAGCGCAATATTCGTAAATGTTAAACAATATTTGTGTATTTTATTGAATAATATTCAATACATTTCTGATGATGGGCTAGTTTTAGAATAATTATTTTTATTTCTGGCGTTTTTAAATTTGATATACTAGGTAAGGATTTCATTATCACGAATCTATGGTAAGGTTTTCTATCATACACATATTAAATCAATTACATTTTACATCAGTGAGAATTTGTATATATTTGAGTTGTTATCCTAAAAGCAGAACTACAGTTTGTAAACTGACTCCATTTGTTTCTGAAGAAAAGATACTATAGATCTGACACGGAATGTTCCTTCTACCGGATCCATACATACAGTTCACATAAGGTGTGACCGGTTGCTTACTCGTCATAGGCACGTAATCCCGACTATTTTCAGATCTTTCAGACTTTTTTTTTTAGACCGATCACTCGTTAGCTTTACCCTTTTCATTGTTGTAGTCAGCATTTGACTCAGAGATAAATTGTATTTGCTGACAAGATCATTTTATCGACCATAGAATTTACGATATGTTGACTTTAAACAAAGCAGCTGAAATTCTTGTTTCATCAACTTGTTTGTCAATAATTAATATACCTCGTTTTGGACATTTTCGGGTTGGGTGAACATTTACAAACTAGCGACTACGGATCTTCAGTATGGAGCGAATTATGCGCAAAAATATTTTAAGTGAAGTATATATAGTATTTAAACTGCCTTTTTACACCTTGAATGGGATGTCGTCATGCATCGCTAAGGGTTTTTTTTAACATAAACTACATAGCATATGTAGATAAAGTACATACCATACAACCTTGCCTTCTTAAAAAAAAATAAAATTAAGTTGGGTTAATAAAATAAAATTGTCCAAGAATTCTATATCTTTAAGAACTATTCCAGTTTGAGGGCACAACCAAGCATTTTCGGTGAACACCATTAAGTAAATTTAACTCATTTATCGTTAGGGGGTGTAGAACAGTCAGGAAAAAATGACTAGCTCGAAGAAACCTGACAGGTAAAATAGATTCCAATATCTTTCATTACTAAATTTTATTCATTAACTACAGCATTACCCTATTTAACTATACTGCAACAAAAATTGGGGAAGGGGGGGGGCGGTAACCGGGCAATGAACATTTTTTACATTAAAAAGTTTTTTTTATTTACATTTGGGTCCCCCTAGCCTCATGAGGCTACACGTCTGCTCCTTCACAAGCCAAAAAACGTCATCAGATGTGCTTATGTTTGGTACATATACATAAAGTAGCTTTATTTTCCGTAGTATATTACATATTGCATGACTATATAGGGATGGAGGGCTCCACTGCCCCCCTTTAGGTTCATAAAACCATGAATTTCATGTCATTCTTAACAATTCATTCCTAACAATTCGAAATTTTGTGGAATGCCTTACCAGTATTTCATTTGTCGTAGTAAAGCTCATCCAAGCTTGCAGCATCACACGTGTTTTCAAGTCACCTGAGTCACACGGGTGACCTGTTGCTATCCGTTTTCGTCCGTCGTCGTGTATAAACATTTGAACATTTTCAGCTTCTTCTCTGAAATCACTGAACCAATTTTAATCAAATTTGGTATACAGCATCTATAGGTAAAAGGAAACAAAAATTGTGAATTTTATGGTCCTTGCCTCCCAAGGACCTGAGGGGTGGGGTCAAAACCACTAAAATTTGTGCAATCTTTAAAAATCTTCTTCTTTACTACTGGACATCAGCAGTCAAACTTTGGCATGAATGTAATGAGCATTGAGTCCTCTACCAATATTGTGAAATTCATGGCCCCAGGGTCAAGGGTTCTAACTGCAAGGGTGTGGATATATAGATTATATAGTGAAGATGCATTATTTCTTTGAAAATTCTTCTTTTCTGCTTCTTGGTATTAAATAAGTACATAGTTATAATGAGCAAGAGTGCCTCTTCCAAAATTGTGAAGGTCAGGAGTTCTGGTGTTAGGCTGGGGCTCTTTTGATTATATAGTGAAAATACATTAAATCTTTGAAAACGTTCTTTTTTGCACATAGTTTCTAAGCAGATGAACTACCTATATAGCTATGACGAGCAAGGGTCATTCTTCGAGAATTCTGAATTTCAAGACCCCAGGGTCAGGGGTACGATTAAGGGGAGACGCTATTTTTATATTGAAAATGAATTAATCGTTTGAAATCAAACTTATTTATTAATCAAACATTTTTGATCAGCAAGGGCGCCTTTTCAAACATTGTGCAATATGTGGACCTAGGGTCAGGGGTTCATGTGTGGTAAGGGCACCACTGATTATTGCTGAATACATGTATTACTGATAAGCTGAAATGCATTTTTGTTCCCCAACCCTGCCTATGGGTATTAAGTAACCAAATTAAGTAATTGCTAAGTGTATGGTTATGATGAGCAATGGTGTCTCTTTCAAAATTGTGAATGCCATGGCGTCTAGTTTAAAACATGAACCAAATGCAATAATTGGAAAGTTGTTGCATGATCCTCAGGTGACCTATAAGGTCCATGGGCCTCTTGTTTAATCGTAAGTTTTATAACCTATATTTCGAGAATATACTCGAATTCAAACTTCTGATTCAGAATTGGAAGCCAAGATTTATCACCACAGATTGTTGAGAGCCAAACTCCAAATTTCTCCTTTGAACTAGCCCGAGCTAATGTTGATAACCTACTTAAAAGATTATTTATATTATTTTCAAGGGGTCAGAAATACTGTGGTTCATATATTAAGAAAATATTTTATCATTTAGTAGTATGACAGTTTTGGCATGCGGTATTTTGCGAAATATGTAATATGATGTTGTATGGAATCCTTCTTCTTCTTCTTTTTAAAAAATTAAAAAAAAAATGCAGAATCGAATGTATCTAATAACCATTTTGATTGATTTAGATTACATGTA